TTGTAGCTCGGAGGCTTTTTTGGGTCAGTGGAAGCAGTGTGTGACAGTGACTCGCTTTCTGGAATGGGTAGATGTGGGTTAACAACCTATTGAGGATTTTATAGATTAATCAATGAACTGAATTTGAGGTGAATATTAGTGCTTTTTACCAAATACTGAATTTTTTCAGCTAAAAAAAAAAAGAAGAAGCAATTAGACAATGAAACCTCAGTCCTCACTGAGTCTCCTGGGACAGATTTGTGGCAGATTCAGTTCTGATGTATATAAATCCACCAGCCAGCTTGTGCGTTCAATATGGGACGAGTCCGGATTCGTTTAGAAACATTTGAAATTGGTTATTCTTTGAGAGCATGGGAAGGTGGAAGTTACAGAGATGCCGGTTTGATCTGTGGCATGGCATTTGGAAGGTGCCAACGTGAGCCGGCGGCCCAAGTTTGGACAAAAATTCAGAAGTGATGTTCACAGTTCGGGTCACGTCGGCTTTGGCGGTCACTGGCAAAAGTGCCCGCACATGTACAATTTATTTTTGATTTCTGCCGCTGTGTTGAAAAGTGCCAATGTTTCAAAACCGTATCAGCTGCAGCTCAACAATAATATACCTTTGTCAGCAAAGTCAGAAAAGATTGTGGTGCACGACTGTCTCACACCAGGTGTTGAGTCTCTGCAGGCTGATTTTTATAATGTCAGGACACTGAATAGAAAATAGTGGCTGTTAGCAGTATGATTTAAAAACAAAACAAAAAAACACTTGGACACTCACGGTGTTACGAATTCTCTCTTTGTCGCAAAGAATGGATGTCACATTGGAGGAAATGTGGAAACTCCCACTCCGTCCTATAAACCTGCACAGGGCTGATAAGAGAGTTTGTTATCAGGCAGAAGGATTCATAGCAGAGCAGTTGTACATGTCCTCCAATTATTAACTGACTCGGCCTGAAGATATATTCAACTCGTCAAGCACATAAACTGATACAGAGACGATTTGAATTGTAGTTCAGCTAGTTTGCTTTGAGGTTGTTTCTTGTTTAATGTATTGAACACGCGCCAAATGAACAAACAGACTTCCAAATGCCAAGAGCCGTTTGAATTGTGACAGAAGTTTACTTTGAAATTTATAGAACGGAACGCTGCAAGTCCTGATCAGAGATTTTCATTTTTCATTTTCGGTAGTGGAAAAGGAGGAAGAGCAGGTACTTGCTTTGGTCAGGGACTAATTTTAAATGATTTATGAGCTTTTTAAGATTGTTTTTTTTTTTTTTTTATTCATTGACTTTTTTTTGACAAGAGCTGCAAATTGATCCCATAGATTTCCATGACTTGAGCGAAGTCAGGCTAACTACCGTCCAACATACCATCACACTGCTCACAGGCACATAAAAAGCTTCAATTTATTTGAACTTTCGGTGTGATACATCCACAAAAAAAAAAAGTTTTCTTTTTACATACGTCCCAGAAAAGAGGCTAAAGAGAGAGATGACGCATGTAAATCATAGAGCAGCAAGACGCATCAACAGCAGGCCAGCAGCGGACACGGCCAAGGGCACCCACGGGTCATAGCTGCCAGCACCCCAACAGCACAGGACCTGTTTGTGTCCCGTCCTGAGAGGCACACAGGAGCCCTCCGAGGGAACGAAACAGAGAGGCTGTTTTTGTTTTCTCTCTCCTCCCCCCTCCCCAGTAAATACCCAAGACTTAATTTCAGCAAGTGCTCAGATTGCACTGATGACAAGGTGGTGTGAGTTCACCAGCGGTGAACGACGGACGCGCTAGACCCGAGGACACGACTGAATAAGCACATACACACACACACACATAGACACACATGCTGAAGCATACACACAGACAAATGCTTGAGAGACACACACGTATTCAAATGTGCAAAAAAAAAAAGTAATGTTCAAGAAGAGAAATACATTTTGGGGCCAAGATGTTTTGGCTGTTTCTACAGAACAAAATGTGCAGACAGCCAGGATACCTTTGTGATAAACGTTTGTTGTATTGTTTGCCATAAGAATCCGTGCTGACAAACAGGTACAACAAGGACAGTCGGCCTACTGACTGAAATTAATATCATTAAAAGCAAATTAAAAGGCTTTGTTTTAAAAAAGAAAACAAAATGGAAGCCAAGAGTGCAATTATTGACCCAACAATGAAAAGAGGAAGTAAATTTAAAGTAAGTGTGTGTGTGTGTGTGTGTGTGTGTGTGTGTGTGTGTGTGTGTGTGTGTGTGTGTATGTGTGTGGGTGTGTGTGTGTGTGTGTTGACAGTGCTGGCACTTGAAGCAGCGCTGAAACAGGCCTCTCTCCTCTCCTTTGTACCTGTTCAGCTGCTGGACGCGACCTCGGACACATCAGCGCCTCGTTAGGTCATTTGTCCCAAGTCATTAGATTCAGTCCAGGACTCGGATGAACACTCTGGTTTATGATTTCTCTGGAGAGAGCAGTTCATCCAGTTCGGCTCTGATAACTGACTGATAAGTCATGACGACTCAGAAACAGTTCCTGAAGCTGTGGTGGCTCAAAATTTACAGAAATTTAGAAACAAAATATGAAACTATCAAGATTAGATTCATTTAAAGGTCCCATATTTTACACTTCCAGTGTAATTGAAGTGTTGATCCATAAGAAGATATATTTGTGGTTTTAAGACCCAAAAACCATCTCAGTGTAGTTTCACATCTCTCTCAGGCTTCTCTCTGGAGCTCTAGCAACAACAGGCCAGTGAGCCAATCAGAAGAGAGGAGGCTCTGAGCCGCTCTTGTGCATTAGTCTATAAAGTGGAATGTAATTTATTGTAAGTATGGTAATCAAGTCAGTTGGTTTGAGCTTCGTAGATTCAATTATTTGTTTCCCTTTTCATTTCAGTATAATTGAATTTTATTCCATTGTTTCTTGAGCCAGACATTTGACAAAACTTCTCAAGTAAACACTAAAACAAAATTATTAAAAGAATTATCAGTTATTAGTGTCATCAGCTCTGACTAATCAGTTGATTCTTGTGCATCCTGTTTAAATGAAGGTCATTTAAACAAAAATCAGTCAATGGGGGGAAGAAAAAAAAAGTCTGAGGTCAGCCCTACATGAAACTTACATGTTGTTCCACAAGTGAAAGCAGTGAATGTTGTTGTTACGTCAACCATGAACAACGTGTTTGTGGAAGATTTAATTTTTATTTTAGTTACTTGGAAACGAGCAGCTTCCTGGTCAACGATCAATGGTAACTTTGAATGCATCTTGATGTTTCCTTCAGATTAGTCGTACTATCACTTTCATAATTAGCTGTTCAATTGTCATTTCATTCTCCTTCTCTCTCTCTCTCTCTCTCTCTCTCTCTCCCTCCCTCCCTCCCTCCGGTCCTTCCCCCCTCCCTTCATCATTTCTCTTGTGCTGTGTATCTGTTGTCATTGTGAGGATCAAATTTGTCTGGCAGGTCTATTTTTACCTGACAGTGTTTAGGTTTCTCTGCCTGTTTCTCATGCCTTCAGCCTTTGTGTTGGTTTTGGCTGGGTGCTTTTCTTCATGCATCAAACCACTTCCATCGGCCACACCCACGGAGGGAACTCTCTGCCTGTTTGTGTGTGTTTGTGTGTGTTTGTGTGCCTGTGCGTAGATAAGTTGTGTGTTGGTCAGTTGGTGTGTATCTGCGCCAGCAGGCTTCCGCCTTTGAGTGCCTGCGTATGCACATTTGCTTTTTTTTGCATTTCTGTAACATGCATTTATACATTTGTACATACGTGTGTGTTTGTGTGTGTGTGTGTGTGTGTGTGTGCCTCTCTCTTCTCTTTTGTACCTGTTCAGCTGCTGGACGTGACCTCGGACACATCAGCACCTCGTTAGGTCATTTGTCCCGTGTGTGTGTGTGTGTGTGTGTGTGGTCCCTGCAGCAGAGATTCTTTACTTAACGGCTTGTGCACCTCTAAAGGAGCGACTGTCTGCTTCATAGACTCTGAATGACACACACAAACACATAGACACATGCACACACACACACCAGTAAATCACGATGAAGATCACTTACAATTTATTTTTCGTAAACGTTCGGCCTGTCCATTCTTGTTGCTTGAAAAATTTCCACAATCGTCATACAAATAGATCCGATGCAAATGACCGTTGTGTCTCCCTGGTTACATAAGAAAGCAGCCATACCCGTCATCGTCATCATCATCATGGATTCATTGCACCTTCTCCTCTTTATCACAAATGAAATATCAACCTCCTCACTTCCTGTGTTTCCTGGGAAACAGCTGCTGCACAGTGAGTTTAAATTAACAAGCTTCTACAAAACTAATGTATATTTATATAAAAATGCCCAGGTTCATTACTGCAGTTGCATCATGGTCCCCTATTGGTCCTGGCCCTGGCCCTGGCCCTGGCCCTGGTCCTGGTCCTGGTCCTGGCTGTTTGATTATCAGGGCAGTGAGCTCCACTGGGAAACAGGAATGTGAAGTACGGAGGAGGGGAGGCTTTTTTGGCTTTATTTGTGTGTACTGTGGATTGGGTGGAACTGAGCCATGTCACAGCCTCCTTATCACTACGATCTGCAGCACATTAATCTCACACAATAATTACATTGGTTAAGCAAATACCTGATTTGTGTCGATGTTAAATAAAGATCATGTCAAACTGTTGCCACTGAGTCGCCTGCAACTGACCTTTTGGTTCATATTGACATATATTTACCCATAGATCTGTGCCATGAGATTTTTAACATGAAATGAAGAAGAGAAAATGAAGAGAAAGAGACCAATTCCATTTCTCTCAGACATGCGTTTGTGAGCCAGAAAAACCTGGACACGCCTCAGTGTTGGTGATCTAGTTGGCTCGGTCGCCCTGTTTACATGAAAGCGTGTTCGCCTCTGATTGAGAACCAGTTTATGATCCTGCTCTGGTGTTAATTGAAAAGCGTGGTGGGAAATCACTGAGTGAAGATGACAAAGCAGGTTGTACAAAATAAGAAGAATTCCTCCTTTAAAGTTCTCTCTCTTTTTTTATTCTTTTCAGACTCGACTAGAGTTGGACAAATACCTGCCACAGGTCAGCGGTCCTCTCTTGACTTCCACCAGCGACACTGGCGACAAAAAGTACAGGCGAGAGAGCGCCTCCGTCGTCGACGAGTACTTCTCAGAGGACAAACCTTCCGCTCCTTACAGCCTCAACATCAACCTCATCCTCCCCAGCACCACTCATCTCCGCACAGGCCTCTACAGGCCCAACACCAAGACCCTCACGCCCCAGCAGATCAAGACAGAGCCCGGGCTGGAGGTGCCCTGCTCCATCCCCACCACCACCACCCAGGCCTTGCCAGACTTCACCTCCGTCTTCAGCATTCCGCCTGTAGTCAACAATGTTTTCATCAAACCAGACATGAGCTCTGGCGGAGCGGTCAATGTTGCCGCAGGATCGCAGCAGCAACCGAATTTGGACACAGATCTTCACATCGGACCCCAAGCCCCCCAGCCGCAGGTCTACCACATGCCCATCACCAGCTGCGCCGACCTCACCATGACTCTGTCGCACACCAGCCCGGCTGGGACACACGGCTCCTCAAACAGCAGGACCATGCTGAACCTCAGCAGCGTCGCGTTGCCGAGGAGCAACGGCAACTACATGATGGCAGAACACCAACTGCCGCAGCACCACGGTTACTACCACGCCCCCGCCAATTCATCCCAGCACACGGCGCCCCACAGCCTGCCGCCCTCGCCCCCAAACTCCCAGCCGGGGAGCCCAGATGGCCAGGCGGAGCTGCTCAGCTTAGCGCCCCAGCCTCCGCCTCCGTACCAGCACCTCCTGGGAGAGATGAAGGTGGCGGGGTTGTCCTCTCACGCTATGCTGATGACACACGGCCAGGGCGTCCTGACAGGTCCCAAATACAACAGGCGGAACAACCCAGAGCTGGAGAAGAGGAGGATCCACTTCTGTGACTACCAAGGTCTGTGGTTTATTTCTTTTTCACTAAAAAACATGTCTCAATCAAACCACCGGGGGCAAGAAACGAGCTGACCTGTCCTGAAATGAAGTTACCTGAATTAATTGGCATTCATTTTTGGGTAACTGCCACTGCTATCTTTTGTGTTAAACTGAAATATATAATACACAACTGTTGCCCAACTTGTTTTTTTTTTTTTTTTCTTCCTCTTAATTTCCTGCAACATGTTGGTGACACACTTTCTTTGCACTGTACTCTGAGCACAGAATGCCCGACTGATCACGTGTAGAGGCCCTCAGGCAACATACAAAACAGTATGCAATCCAAGATCTGCCCACACACACACACAGTTGACAGCTTGAGCCCTGCAAGAATTCCTGGGCATTAATAACAGTTTGATACACAAATATCTAACTAATGGAAAACAAGTTTGAACATAACCACTCTAACAAGTTGCTTACAAGGGTTTTTTAACTGTGCCACTGTTGTGTAAATAAACTAAATTACCAGAGAAAAGCACAAATGCATCTCTGACAGTGATGCACTGCCTCTCTCTCACACGCCTGAAAACACACACACAAACACATCAATACAGGAAAAATAATTGTGCAGAAACAAGATTGACAGGATGCTTAATATCACAGTGCAAGAGCAGTCATTTTAATAACTCATTTAATCTCATATCGGACTTGAAATGTGTCAGTGAAGTGAGATAATTCTGTTTGTTTTCTATGTTGCTAAAGCGTCATTGCCATGAAACAAGGCAGAGGTTAGGGTTAGAGGCATTAAAGGTATGTTTGTCTGATACTCCTCCAATTTATTCCCTCCACAAACAGTTTGAAATGTTCCAGTTCGGCAAATATGTAGGTCCCTTTTTTTCCCCTCTCGTGTCACAGCTTTGGTGACCTCTCTGTCAGATGAGCAGATTCTCGTTGTCGGTCTGTCTCACGATCTCTCAATCTGTGTGATTGATTTATTTATTTATTTTCTTTACAGGCTGCACCAAAGTTTACACAAAGAGCTCCCATCTGAAGGCACACCAGAGGACACACACAGGTGAGAAAACTCTAGATACTGGCGTTTCTTTGCCGTGGTATGTAACCGCACATCAGTGTCCGTTGGCTTCCTGATGGGGGAATCTGAATGGTCAGTTCCTCCTACTTGAATGAGCCAATGGTGGTGAAGCAATAAAGGAAGCAGCTGATGCCAATCAGTTGATTGATTGATTTGAATAGAACTTTTCATAGAGGTTAGTGCAGTTCAAAGTGCTTCACAGACTGATAATTTTAAAAGCTATAATTTTATTTACAACAAACAAATAAAAAAACACCCATAATGAATATTTGATATACAACATAGATACAATAAAATAATTGATTAAAATAATAATAAGGACTAAAAAACATACTTAATTAAAAGCCAGTCTGAAGTGGTACGTGTTGAGTCTACGTTTGTGCGCTCTCAGGTCCTCGGGGAGACTGTTCCAACAGCTCGGAGCATAAAAGATTTTAGTCAGGCACTGCTCCCGTCAACGCAGCAGATGATAATCAGGCTGATTTTGGTTCTGATTCACCTTTCGCAACAGTTACAACAAGTGTCTGGATTTTTATTTCAGCTTTATATCCTGTGATATGGAAGAAAATCAGGTGCAAAGCTTAACCACAGAGTTACAGCACAGGTCCAGAAAAATCCATTGTTTTGTGTAGGGTTTCTCAAATTTCCAACATAATGAAGATTTAGTTGAAGTGTGTGTTTGGCCTTGCATAATTTCATCTGTAAAATCAGAATTATTCACTACCATTCAAACCAGCACCTCTCACCTCTATACCATTAAGCTCCGAGGTCAGCTGGCCTAAGCTTATTTATTTATTTATATGTTGCTTATTTTGTCAAATTGCCAGTTTCGATACACCCAGTAACTAAAATAGAGATGAACACAGACAAAAGGAAACACAACAGAGAAGCAATAGTTTGCTTAAGAGTTTTTGTTTATCCTCCACCATGTTTATACATGCTCATACCTGTCCTCCGAGTCTCCCCAGAGAGAGAGAGAGAGAGAGAGAGAGAGGAGAGAGAACAAAAAAAGGGAGGGAGGGAGGGAGGATGAAGGAAAGAGGGGGAAAAAAGGGGGGGGCACAGTTAAAATAAAGGCCAAACCAGTTACTCCTGCTTTTCAGTCCCTTTTCAGAGGATGGAGGAGGAGGGTGGGGAGTTTGCAGAAGGAAAGGGGGAAGGCTGGTTTCGATGTGTTGCCCTTCTGTAAGATGAAACCTCTGGATTCCCTGCAGCCTCAGACCTGGATTTTACAGATTTACTTGTGTGATTAACGCCGCAGAGCTCTGGCAGCGTGAAAACAGTGACAGAGAGATAGAGAGAGAATGGATGTACATATAGAAACAGATCTCCCTGTGGTCATAAATAGATAAGATGAGACTTTATGAATGCCAGTGGGGAAGTTGGGTTTGTTGCAACAGCAGCGCAAATGGACTATAAAATATGCAGTGAGAATGGTAAACAAAACAATACAAGAAAGCACTAAGAGCAGAGAGATTCTGTAGTGTGCTCTTGACAATTTCAACACAAATGTAAACTGTCTGCTGTCGGTCTTAGTTGCTGCTGCACTGTTGCCACGCTCATCCAGGTTTCAATAATAATGTCTTTTTAAAATAAGTTTTTTAACATGACATGCCTGGTCGTGTCTTGCATTCAGTTGATGACTCATGAGTTGAGCATGTAAAGAAACATTGGGCTGACAATAGAAAATTAACAAAACCCTTACCAGAGTGTGGGCATTGCATAGATCTTTAGTCGTATACTGCTTCTTCTCTCTTTATTCTCAGTATTTTACCTTCAAATCATGTTCAGACATGGTGATCTGGATAAATCATCATATCCCATCTCTTTCACTCCGATCTGGTTCATTTCCTATCGCTCAAACAGACAGCTCACTTTTGATAAGGGTTATCCTGCATCCTCGGATCTATGGAGTGCCTCAAGGCTCTGTACTAGGTCCCTTTTTTATTCTATTTCTAGTGTATGTACTTCCTCCCAGACAAATTTTGCTCACTGAACTCATCTTAAATGAATAATCAGTTTTAGACCTTACATTAAACCTAGTACCCTAAATTGAGATGATTATATTTTATTCCAAACTCACCTTTTTAAAAATGATTCATGCTTTATCTTTGTCAGAGTCAATCAGTGCAGCTCTCTGTTTGCCTACGTGAGTGGTGAAGCCTGTTCACACCTTCAACTCATACAGAATACGGCAGCCAATCTCCTATCCACAGCAAATATTGAAGATAACATAACTAACATTAAAGCCTCTTTACATCAGCAGTCAGTTGAGTTGCCCCAGACATTATCATAACCTCTTAATCTGACCTGAAAACCTGTGCTTTCTCAGATACTCACTGTGTTTGCACACACTGATGGACAGTCATCGGCGGGTGTGCAGATACAATAGGGTCTTCATGTATTCATTGGAGTCTGATTATAGAATTTGAAGGTTAATACAGAAACCAACATTTTTGTGAGAGACATTATTTGACATCATGATTCGTCTCTGTCCTGTTACACCAGAGATTCATCAGTTTGTCAAACTTGGCTAATGACTACACTTAATTGTGATTAAACACCACAGTGTGTGTGTGTGTGTGTGTGTGTGTGTGTGTGTGTGTGTGTGTGTGTGTGTGTGTGTGTGTGTGTGTGTGTGTGTGTACCATGCAGTTTTCTGTTGAACAACCAGAAGGCACATTTTCAATTCCCTTACCGATGTCATTATATTTCCCGTACATGTTACAATAACATTCATGTGTCAGTCAACAATCTTTGATCTGAACCCTCATCCCTGATCTATGTCTGTTGCAGTTCACTGGAAGAGACATGAGAGAGTTTTGTTTGTGTGCTTGTTTTTTTTTGTTTTTCTTCTTAAGGTAACAGTATCAGGAAGTTGTGTGATTGTATGTGTGTCAGCACGTACATATGTACAAATCATCATTTTAGAACAGTCATCTTTTAACAAGGTTTTCCTTAGAAATCAAGTCATAGTTTAGTTTTTTTCAAGTCAAGTGTTAATCTTGGTCAGGGTTGGATGCTGCTGTGGCTCATTGATATGCACTGTTTCCTAACAACAAGAAGGCCCTGGGATTGAAATCCTCCATGAGTGTAGTTTGTATTTTCAGATATTTCCTTTCCGGCCACAAGTCAAAGACATGCAGGTTAAGTTGCCTGGAAACTCCAAATTAGCGTGAATGTATCTGCGTGTGTACCCTGGCTGCCACACAGTGCATGCTGGGACTGATACTCAGCCTGCATGAGATACGTGGTTAAAGAGTTTGAAGTATGTGTGTCGTACTAGAATCCTCCACATGAGTTTCGTTAGCTTCAGTTTACTTTGAAAGGTCCCATATTTTACACTTTTCCTGTGTTTTCCACTTTTAACAGTTGATCCATAAGAAGATATATTTGTGGTTTTAAGAACCAGAAATCATCATCTAAATGTAGTTTTACACCTCCTCTCTTAGGCTTCTCAGGCTCAACAACAGGTCAGTGAGCCAATCAGAAGAGAGGCGGCTCTGAGCCTCTGTGATTGAGGCATGAACCACATGTGAGCTGTTGTTGAAGTCCATCACTACCTGCTGTCATTTGTTATCATTACAATCTGCCCTCCCACTGGTACAGGGGGGGGGGGGCAACCTTGACCGTGGCCCTAGTGGCCATTTGAGCTCTGCACATTGACTTTTGTAATTGTGTTTGTGTGTGTACATGCGTGTTTGTACGTGTGTGTATGTAAAGGGTAGAGTGCTATCAGGCTGATTAGGGAACCCTCCAGCCCTCTTCACAAACACTCACTGAGCTGATAAAGCTGAGAGGTCCACAAAGAGTTTATGGGCGTCCTGGAGGCCTGAAAGTGTTTGCTCTTTGACTCAGTAAAACCAGAGATGGTATTAAAATGGTTTGATCACACTCCTGATATATTATACTAGACTGGGCTTAGTCATTCGTGGCACGAATGGTTTCAAGTTGAAAAAATAAGATGTGGTTTGAAAAATCTCTAGTTGCTCCTCAGGTATTTTTATCTCTCTTATCAGTTCATTTGTAGTAGTGATGGATGACCTTTAAGAGAGGTTGGAAACCTGTTGATATATCTGCTGTTATTCCTGAACTTCATACTCTTTACTCTCAGTTGTATTTAGAAAACAAAATTAAGTTTAAGTTCAGGCGAATTCCTGAGTCATTCTGAGTAAGACCATCAACTACATGCCTTTATTTGAAATGTAAATAGACTAAAAGGACTTATTAAAGCTGCCATATCCTGTCAAAGAGTAGTTATCAATGGACAAAAATAGTGCTCTCTTTTATCTTTTTTTTTTCTTGTAAAGTGATAATGTTCTTTTAGGTTTTCTATGAGTAGATCAACCAAGTACAATTTTACTAAAGAGAACTTTTAAAAATTAAAAAATAAGATAAATCTGAGGAGACAAACTTGTTACATTTTCTGGATCCTACCTCATTTTATTTTCATTTGAAAGCTGTAAGAGAGAAGTAAGTCGGCTGTAATCAGAGCGGGAGCAGCTGGTTTTACATGCAGCAGGTTCAGGGTGTCAGGGAGACTTGAAGCCTCCTATAGAGTAAATATAAATATATATGTTCCTCATAAAGCACACAGCAGCCTGACAGAGGCTGTTTTGTCCCAGAGTAATTGATGTGCTGTTGCAGTTACACCGCCTGTACTTTGAGTGTGTGTTTTGTTGTGTTTGTGCGGCTGAAACCAAGTGTTTTTCCGTTACGATTTATGACACGGTCGTACTTGCATTCATTATATATGTGTGTGTATGTGTGTATATGTGTGTTTGAGAGAGAAAATAATGGGTTGGCCGTTTTCTAATCAGCCACCTGATCAAACAGCTGCTGTCCGTTGTGTACAAATGCCTGTAAAGGCTTTTGAGAAGCCCCCTGATGACATCATAGACACTGTGTCCCCCCAGTGATCATTAGTACGCAATAAACATTCAAACAGGGAGGAAACTTGCAATAGTTCTATAGGTAAATGCCAATTTTAAATCTTTTTCATAGGAGACAGCTAGAAATCACTGCACAGTCAATAAGTTTACACTCAAATATTTCCAAAATTAAATTGTAAAAAATTTTTTTTCATTTTTTGAGGATGAATAACATGTTCTTAAAACTTCAGTTTTTCCACTTAACGTCATAATACAAGACGAGTGTTTGAAAATGAATCTACCTTAAAGACAATATGTGGAAAAAGCTCAGTTTTAGGTGATTGGTCGAACATTGTCAGTGTTTTTCACCAGGTAATAAATTGACCAACTTAAATTTTGCTAAAACTTAACGTTCCCCTTTTAGATTAAAGGAAAATGAAATCACGTGAGGATGGATTGCGGGGTAGGTTTTCACCTGACCTTTTGGCAGCTTGTTTAGGAATATATACCAGTCAAGAGCTTGTTCTCTGTGTGTTATGTGTCGTATTTCACTGGCCTGTTTGCTCGCCCTCGAGGATATAAGTCAGAGAGAGAGAGAGAGAGAGAGAGAGACGGTTGTGCTTTTGACCCCGGCAGTGCAGCTATAGAGCAAAACCAAACACACCTGTGGGTTGAGAGCCTCAGCCTTTTATATGGAGACTTTTGTACTCTGCCTCGACACACACATCAGGAGCGGTTCACTCTGGAAACAGGATATTGTCCAAATAGTAGGCTGGAGTGCTGCTGAGCCTCTGATGTGGGGTTTAGGTGCTTGTTGGATTAAAAAAAGACTAATCAGGTTTAATTGTGTGGGGATAAAGGGGAAGGTGCCCCAAAAATCTCTTTACAAGCCATTAACATGTTTACACTAAAACAACATGTTTTTTTTTTTTTTTTTAAATGGTTGTTGGCCTGTTGAAGATCGAACATAGAGCCACGCAAAAATTAACTAATAATAATAATCCTTATTTTTTTCTTCTCATTTATTGTCACCTGCCCCCCCCCCCCCCTCCCCTCCCTCCTTGCTCTTTGGACCTCTTGTTGCTAATGGCTGTCACTAGATGATTGATGGCCAATAGCAGAAGCTATCTAATCAGCGCTAACAGGGCCTATGCTGGTAATGAGCGCTTAATGACCCAAGCGGCCGAGGACAGTTACACTCCCTCAAATCTGGCTCATAGAAAAGTTTCCTCAAGGATTTTCAGCCAAGGACACGACTTAGAAATGACGTTTTGTGGCATTAAAAGTCCACAGGATAACATGCAAGTCCAAAATAAAAGCATACTTCTTGAAAAAGATGTAGGAAACTGAGCAAACATTACAAAAAGAAAACCAAGAATTATTATAAATGTTGAATAAACCAATGATAAGTCCAGACTGGATCCTTCATATCCTGGAATGATGATTTTTCCAGAAATAGAATAAATAGACATGAACTCTCTGGAAAGAATAAAAAACCGCAGTTTGAGGAATCTGGCTTCCGTGGAGTTTGATTGTTTAGCTATCTCCTTTTCAGTTTTGTTTGTGTTCATGCCTCACATTGATTCCCAGACATTAATTTCCACCTCAGCTATGAAAGATGACATTTTTTCCTCGTTGCGCGCATACCAGCCTATTCAACAGAGCTTTTCCTCTTTGTTGATGATTAGCTCGCTGTTCAGCAATAGCACGTTGTGGCACAGCAGAGAAATGCCAATGTTTGGGTGGGGTTAGGGTAAGCGTTGTGTTAAATGTACTCGTTATTCTTCAGTGCTTTGAATTCCCATTTTTCACATTTTCTCTTTTTGTACCTTCTCATCCAAAACCAGCTTATAATTATAAAACAGTGGGATATGATTTATTTCTTAGATGAGCAACAGCACAGATACAATAAGCAAATGGAAGCGTTGAACATATATTTTGTTATTTGTCAAAGTTTTACTCTAAAACAATGATTATTATATGAAACAAAGGTTTCCTTAAAAAGGGACCATGAAATTAAAGGAATGGGATTCATTTTTAAAGGTCCACCAGTCAATATTTCTTAAAGGTACACACACACACACACCTGGCATATTGGCAATTACACGAGTGAGCAGGAAATTCATAAGGTAAGACATTAGATCCCTTCTCAGTAATTTCATATAGCAAACATCTTGCAGCTGTGATGGTGTGTTTAGAAATCCTGTGACTTTTGTTTGTGAATGAAACAACGTCGTCCTCTGTTCATTCATGTAAAGACATGAGGAGAAAATTTTTCTTCTTCCCTTCCTCACTTTTTTTTCAGTATTAAGGAAAGTGTGTGTGTGTGTGTGTGTGTGTGTGTGTGTGTGTGTGTGTGTGTGTGTGTGTGTGTGTGTGTGTGTGTGTGTGTGTGTGTGTGTGTGTGGCACCTGACCCAGTAGTTGATCCCATTGTGTCAGATAGCACACCATGCAATTTTATCTCACCATTCAGCTTCATGGAAAAGAGCGCAGTGTTTACAGGAGGGAGCCGTGAAAACCACAAGCATATAGCGTCTCGCCCCCACGGCTAACTGCCGTTTAAAAATGCCTAAATACTGATTACCCCCACACATGTTGTCACTCACACTTTCTGCATTAACTGATGTGTTTTCTGGTGAAATGACATTATCTTCACAACTTCATTTACAAAGTTTTAGCGTGATTCCTTTCATTTAATAATGTCGGTCGACATCAGTACAGCAATCCAACAGGGCAGGAATAGACAGGTTGGCAAAACTGCAAAAATAAGACCTAGGATGTGAAACAAAAACGTGTCAATCAGGAGGGACTTATAAGAGGAATGAAAAGCAAACAGAGAATTTGAAGAAAGATTAAATCTATTATCAACAGCAAGAGTAGACTTTGGCGCTTAGACTTAAGCACGGAGTTCGAAGGTTGGGACGTCTTTAGGTGAGGGAAACTTCAGATTGGAGGGTTCAACACAGTTTATAGGAAGTTACTGAAAAGCGCTCGTCTCCTTTGTCAGAAAATCTCATTCAGAGGAATATAACCAAGGATGTTGGGAAAAGTTTCATTAACATGCAATGTTGTGTTTGACTAGAAATAAAATTATCACATATACTGTATGTTTCATGTAAAAAAAAATATAGGCATTTTGTTGTTGCTTAACAAATATACAAAGCCTCCAGTATGGTCTTTAAAATTAGTTTTGACTGCCTTTGTGATCTTTGTAATGAACTGGACACCTCCTGGATGTGAATCTGGCAAATCCTGGAAATAACATTGAAGAAGAAATATAAAGATATTAAGAAAAAGAAACAAAAAATTGATATTTTTATTGAAAGAAAATGCTCTGTTCATTGCTAACACCTCTGTCCTCTTCTCTCTCTTGCAGGTGAGAAGCCGTACCGTTGCACATGGGATAACTGCGACTGGCGTTTCGCCCGGTCAGACGAGCTCACCAGACACTACCGGAAACACACCGGGGCCAAACCCTTCAAGTGCATCGCCTGCAGCCGCTGCTTCTCCCGCTCCGACCACCTGGCCCTGCACATGAAGCGTCACCAGAACTAGTGCAGACACACCTGTGTGTGTGTGTGTGTGTGTGTGTGTGTGTGTGTGTGTGTGTGTGTGTGTGTGTGTGTGTGTGTGTATATATAAATATATATACAATCACACAAAATCACACACAAAGAGTTCAGTATCCAAACATGACAGCCACCTGAACCTAACACCTTTAATCAAGAACAGATAGAGAACCAAAATCATCCCTGCGTGCCCGTCTTTACTCTGGTGCTCCTTGCTAACATAAGCTGAGTGATGGTTGGCATCTAGCAGTATCCAAAGGTTGTTATACACAGGTATATGTTTTGACAGGTGAGAAGCTGGCAAGGAGGGATCACATCCTTATTGATGCACCTACTTGTTGGTCAGGGTCTAGATTGTTCAGTGGATGGATTATGGGAGATACAGTGAGCCCCCCTCACACTTTGTGATCTCCTCTTCCTCTCTGGCGGGTGAAAAGAGGATCGAGGTGTAACAGGGAGAGTGTGGTAAACACTGGGAATCAAAAATAAAAAAAAATTACAGGTGATACAGGCGAACTGGCCTGTGATGTAATTAGCTGCTCTGTTGTCCAATCAGCATTTATGGAAACAGGGAAATTATGTCCAGGTATTTGCAAACATAACATGGCTGTATAGCATGCAAAATGTCGTGCAGTGTAGCTTTAGAGCTTCTCCAGATTCTCATTTTCTCCTGTGTGAGATAGTGCTGATCACCTGCTATCAGTCAACACGGTGTTTGCCGAGGTCTCAACACCAGAGCTAATCATCTACCAGGGACTCAGAGATGATTTTGGTGTTCCCATCTCTGAACAGTTGAGGTGTGTTGATTTAAAACATGCACTAGTCCAGCTCATATACATACATCCATGTTCACATACACACTTTACATTCATTACTTCCTACAAAAACTGCAGTCACTGGAACTGCAGTATGGATCTGAGACTCCTTCTTAACACATCCTGGACACACTGTGTTGTCCCTACAAATCTGCTGCCAACTTCTTCACCATCAGCACTGTCCTGTCGCCATCTTTTTCCATTTTGAGGTATGAACTTTCAAGGAGAGGTGGAAATGCCTCTGTAAATATTTGTTTATAAGTGTGCATATGTGTGTCTGAGAATACAACGAATGTATTGAGATTTATACTTGACATCTTTTTTCTTTTCTTTTTTTTTTTTTTATATTGAATGTTAATATGAGTAATATTCCATCTGGAAACTTCCTTGCGATTTGCCTCCCTGTAAGGGCCTCAAAAAAAAAAAAAGTATAAACAAATAATAACAGACACAATCAGAGAACTCTCCATGGAAAAAGTTAACGATCGCCTTGCGTAATACCTGTAGTAATACCTGTCGAGCTCAGAGCAACTTGCCAATGTTTGTATCCATGACATTACCCGTTGCCAGGGTGACCAACCTCCTTTGATGACGGTTTGCGGTGTGCTTGCAGTTTCTATTCAGCTCTGTTTTTATCCCCACTTTTTTTTCTCTCTCTCTCCCGTATTTGTTCAACACTTCAGCTAAAGAAAGGCAGAGATGGGTGGATAGACTTCTTATGTAATCATTCCTGATTGTGGTGAATTAGACTCTCACAGATTGAAAAGGCAGTCCTGTTAAGCAGATGAACGGCGGGTTAACGTGCACTCGGTTGCATGACATTACCTGGTACATTGCGGCCCCTGCATTCTTTATGGGTTTAAGGAAGTCTTCTCCTCCAGCTGGGAATGCCCACACATTTTTGTGCAGTGTTGTAGCAGTAACATTTGCCAACAAAAGGATTCACAAGATGAAAAAAAAAGCTGCACAGTACAAACAAAGAGTTTCATTCTGTGAACTGAAACTGTCATTACGGGGGGAAAATATAACCAAGGAATGGATTGAGAATTTGACAAAATTATATATTTACCAACTGCATAATCAACTTTATAGTTTAGAGGAATTGACAGTCATCAACCACCTTTTCTCTTTTTGGACAGAATAACACTAAAAGTCAGTGATACAAACAGTTTGAAAACAGTGTTGAATCTAAACTTTTCCAGGGTAAAAAGGTTATTAAAAAGTCCTTCATAACAACTACTATATAACAAGTATTTACTCTTCCAGCTTTTGGACAAAGTTAAAGCTTCAGCTACAACAGCAAACCAATGCAAACGTGACACTTTTCCAGACAGCTGTCAGAACAATGATTGAATTTTAAGCGTCTTCCAGTGGACATTGTTTAGGGATCAGTAACATGAAGTCCACAAAAATCAGTCCACAGTCTCCACTGATCAGAGGCAGTGAAGTTATTGTGGTTTGATATTTAATCAGTCAACTGAATCAAACATAAACCACTAATTGAATTAAATCTTTGATGTTGAGGCCCCCTACCTGATCTCACCTTAGACTGTTTTCTTCTGTCTTCTCTTTTCTAGCGCTTCACTGTGAGTAAGAATAATAAAATAACACAACTAGCTCCTTCATGTATCGCATGACATTTATCCACAAGGGGAACCTGTTCAATTATTGTCAGACCAGTTCTATACCTGTCGACATGTGCCACCTATGGAAATGGAAAATAACAGCAGCAGCACTTTGTAACAGAAAATCTAAAATGCCCTCGCACTGTCACAACTGGGGGGGGGGCTCCCATCGTGATACTCGTTTCCTGTAGGTGGCGCATTACTTTGTTTAAATTGAAGCAGCTGCTACTCTCCATGCCAATAGATGGTGCAGATCAGATCACAGGATCATGCCATGGCGACTGAGGCTGTAGGATCCACCCACTTTGAACTTCACAGAGGTTAAAACAAGCATGAAGCATTGATTGCCCGATCTCTGTTTACCTACGGGAAACACCATCCTGTTATTTCAAAAACTATTATTGCTTTATTCTTTATTCCCAAGGAAACAAGTTCTCTTTCAAGGAGGGAGCACTGACCACCCACTGTGTACATAACTGTAGTTTTAGTTTCAACAGAAGACTTTGTAAATATTTGTTTGGTTTTATTTCCTATTATAATATTAATATTTGTTTGTTTTTTTCTTTTTTAACTAATGGGATTTTAGATCGGTTTTATGTGAACGCCTGTTTAATTTTTTTTGGTTTTTTGATACATTGTGTGTAAGAGAATTTATCAGTTTATGTAAGATTAATAAGAACAACAATGTTTTGTTTGTTTTTTTCTGTTTGTTGAAGATGCTTCAATGAGATAATAAAAGGATTCATAAAATAATAATGGATTGTTGTCTTGTTTCTTTATCTGTGGACACATTTTCACACCTCAACTACTTAGTTTTCAAAAATACAAGTTTTTAGTCAAAGTTGAGACGTAAATAATGAGAGGAAAGACATTTTTAAACAAGCTAGGGTTAGGGTTAGGGTTAGGGTTAGGGTTCAGATTTGGATTTGAATTACTGTGTAAATTAAGATGTCACTCACCAGATGAATGGAAGGAAGCTGTAGTGAGAGGGTTTGGAGGGTAGGAAGTTTCCAAAGCTCTTCTGCTAATCTCCTTTCTTCCTGACCACAATTCCCCTCAGCTCTGCAGAGGATTTTAGCATCTTTCAACTAATTGCTTTGGTCTTCTGACAGACAGATTTACTATTTTGTTTCAGTCTTGCTTTTCTCATCAAGCCTGTGCTGTTGTCAGCCCAAAAAAAGCTCTAATAAATCCTCTGAAAGCTCCCAGCCCAATACCAAACTGCAGCCAGACAAAGTTAGCAACTAGCTAACGAACATAGCGAGCATTTAGCAGCTCAACTGTGTGCGACCACTGTGTGGAACCTAATGGGGATCCAATGTTAATGTCCATGTATGTTTATTAAGAGAGATTTGTCCTCTGTGCAGAATCATCTTTGTTGTTGAGAGTTCCCTGACATAGGGATCAAGCTGGCTGTTAATTCATGTGACTCTGTAGGCCATGGTGAATTGATACCAACCACTTGATAAACATGTGTGGGATTTTTATGCTTTTCCTGGCAAGAATTCAGACTTCTCTTGCCATTAGTTTTATATCTGAAATATATTAACTTCAAAACCCATTTGTTTTTGTCCGCCAAAGATTTTCTTGTGAATGTGACATTTTTGCATGGAGCTGATAACGTCTTATCTGTGAGGACATAATAGATTGGGTCAAATATTTAAAAAGAGGTTAGTGACAGCTTTTGTTAAAATCAGAGAGGAAACTGAGTTAATCATTACCCTGCATCGACTCCCTTGCTCCGTTACAGCTGTGCCGGTTGGAGATACCTGATTGTCTTGGCCTGACGTGGCAGGTGAAAGGTAACACCGGCGGCAGGCGGCTCTGGTGGGGCTGTGTGACACAAAAGAACCTGCTGGTTTGACAGGGAGTGAAAGACAACAATTAGTGAAGAATAATGAGACAGAGCATGAACGTATAAAGGCAGAGAGGGTGGAGTTCGCCGCTATATTTTGCTGCAGAGAAAGTAATTATTATGTTTGTGCAAAGAAATTTGCCTCATCATCTGGGACAACGCCCTTAATCATAACACATCATGTACTGTGCATCTGCAAGGGTGTTAGTCTCTTTATTATTTAATACACATCACCAACATTCATAGAAAAGAAGATACATTTTTGCTCGTAAATGTGCGTTAGCAGCATCTCAAGGACCAGAGCCATTGTTTGTAGCTCTATCTCCATCTCTTCCCAATACAATTTAGCCTCCTTAACCCTTCTCTACCCTGTTCATCTTTACAAATACATGCTGTGCTGCCAAGCATTGCTCAATCATGCAGAACCTTTTTTTTTTAAATTCAACTCAAGATCCCAGTCTCCCAGAGTTTCCATATACTGTGTGTGAGGTGTGATCATGAGAAAAATGTGCATAAAAAGATGCAGAACTCATGGAGCATATTTTCCTTTAGATGTGATGGTGCAGTCATTAAAACATAATGTGCAGTGTTCAAGTATTTCTGCCAGTTAACACATTAGTTTTAATGGTAGAACAAGCAGATACAGGTTTACACAGTATATCTATTATATTTCACACGAATGCATACAGTTACGAAATGTTATAATCT